GGTTGGGAAGATCTCCTGGAGAAGGGAATGACAACTCACTCCTGTATTCTTGCTTGGAAAATCCCATTGACAGAGGAGCCTGGTGGCCTACAGTCCGTGGGATCACAGAGTTGGATGCAGCTGAGCACACAGTAGTGTGTGTGTTGGAGGGGGTGGGTGGTTTACACGGCAGCTTTATATCCTTGTTGCTCTAGCCACTTGGGACGTCTTCCTTCACCTGGGAATTTCCCCTTTGCATAGCTGTGTGCCCAGAAACCTCAGGGTTCGTGGTTGGCCTGGAGGTCCTGAGTCTGGGATTACACCGTCCACTCTCAGTTAACCTCTGGTCTATCTCCTCCTTCACATTCCCATTCTAAATTTCCACTCCCCAGTGTAGCCACCGTCCCGTTTTACCTGCCTTGATCCCAGCCTTGCCCTCTTCCATTCATCCCTCCATGGCAGCTGGTAGGATCTTTGTGACACTAAGATTTGACCATGTTGATTGTCTGCTTAGAACCTGTCATGACTCTCTGTAGCACTCAGGTTTCAGACGAAGCTCTTTCCTGTGGTCTCCAATGGGGTATCATTGGAGAGGGTGCTGACTCCTCTGTCTGTCTGTCTCCCATCCTGGCCTTGTCTCTCCTACTGGACTGTGAGTCTTCTAGAAACAGAAGGGTCTTGGTCATTGCTGTGTCCCAGCACAGCCTAGAATGGAGCCTGGCCCAGAGCAGAGACTCACTGAGTGCACGTTGAATGTGAAACTGAATGGTTTCATAACCGAATCGGGTTTCCATGGAGACTGATGGTTAACAATTTGACAGGAGAAGCTAGAAAAACTGAAATTTGGAGCTATTTTTCCCCCTTCCTGATTATATGATCTTGGGAGGTGGTTTCACCTCTCTAATTCTCAGTTTCCCCCCAGAAGTGAAGGTAATGCTTATTAATATAATCATAGTTAGCACTTCTGTGGAATTTGTTGGGGCCAGATACCGTTCTGATCACTGTACCTGGATTAAATAACTTAATCAGTTAACCCTATTTGTTTAACCCACCTCTGTGAGATGGGTACTGTGATGATAACCTGTTTTACAGTTAGGGGAACTGAGGCTTAGTCACTTTACTGGAGTGAGGTCACTTTCTAGGGCCCATATGATTGTGACTTCTTTATGTCTCTTTGAGCCTCAGTTATATGTGAAAATCCAGGAACTAGTGCTCCTCCGAGGAGAGAGCATCGGACAGTCATCAGGGTGGATCCCTGGAGCCTGTGGTGTGGGGAGCTTGGTTGGTACCTAAGCCCTGCTTACCTTGGATTCCCACTCTGGTTCATAGGGAGCAGCTCCCAGAGTCAGCCTACATGCACCAGCTCCTGGGCCTCAACCTCCTCTTCCTGCTGTCCCAGAACCGGGTGGCTGAGTTCCACACAGAGTTGGAGCGGCTGCCTGCCAAGGACATCCAGACCAACGTGTACATCAAACATCCGGTGTCCCTTGAGCAAGTGAGGCTGAGGAAGTGGGAGGGGGGGGCCTGGCTAAAGGGAGCGGTGCAGGGAGAGACACTCGGGAGGGTTTCCTGGAAGACTAGGCAGGGCTCAGCCTGTGGACTCATTTGCTCATTTGTCCAACAAATATTGAGCCCTAGCCATGTACGCAGGCACTTTGGTTGGTTTTCCGACTGTACAGTGAACAGAACAGATCAAATCTCAGATCTTATGAGGTTGACATTCATGTGAGGAAGCAGATAGTAAACAAATGAGTGTGTGTGTGTGTGTGTGTGTACATACCAGGGAGGGCTTCCTAGAAGAGGAGGACCCATCTGCATGGGGAATGGTGACTCTGGCAGAGAGTGTCCTGGCAGAGTGTAGATTATGGAGGCACTGGGATTACAGTGAGACCTCGGTGGGGATGCCTCTGTGCTGCCTCTTACTCACCGTCTCTTCTTCCCCACCCATCCTCTACAGTACCTGATGGAGGGCAGCTACAACAAGGTATTCCTGGCCAAAGGCAACATTCCTGCTGAGAGCTACACTTTCTTCATCGACATCCTGCTTGACACTATCAGGTGTGTGGTGGGGGGCCAGGGCCCTGCAGAGTGTAGAAAGAACTTGGACTTCAGAGTCAGACAGCTCTGTGTTTGAATCCCATTCGGGCCACTTGTGATCTGGGGAGGCTGGGCACATCAGTTTCCTCTTCTGTGAACTTCAGCTGGTCATGAGATGGTAGTAAGAGCCCTCATCTCACTCTGGGCCCGTGGAATTCGACCCTGAGCATGGGCCTGGTGCCCAGACATTGCTCAGCTCAGCGCTCAGAGACCCTGCTGCCTTTCTCATGGAAGTACTCCTTGAGTCATCTAGCTTCACCTCAGGTCACCTAAACTCTGCAACCTCAGTTTTCTGTTCTTTAGAATAGGGCCACCAAATCCTGCTCGCTCCTTGGGGGTTGCTGTGTACACAGGTGGCACTGCATGGGCGGATGGGCATGACGTGTACAAGTCCAAGTGTTCAGGTAGTGTCAGAGTTGGTTCACCTGGGCAAAGTGCCAGATTGAGTTTTCATTCCTCCAGTGACAAAGCTGGGCCCAGAGAGATGCAGGGAGTGAGGAGAGGCAGTTTAGTAGGTTTAGGTTATTTTTAACCCTGAAATATTTCTACTCTTTGCAATGCACAGGGAATATTATGAGTGCCCACATACCTACCACCTGGCCTAAGAGATATTAATAAAATACCTCAAACGGGCATGCTCCTCTTTGTCACTAGTTTTTGCCCAGAGCTACCCCTTCTCCCATTTCAGTGGCTTGATGTCATGCTGTTTTTTACTTCATTGTTGACCTCTTAAAATGGGTACAAAGAACCCCCTTGGGATTGGATCCTGTGGGGAGGGTGTTAGGTGAAGAGATCCCCTTCTGTGAATCTGAGGCTCAGTTTCAGCCAAGCCTGAAGTCCTCGTGGCTAGGAGTGAGAATCTGAGCCTGGGCCCAGGAGTCCCGGAGACCTGAGTGTGTGCCCTGCTCTGGCCCTGGCTTTGCAGCTCTAGTCAAGCTACTCTCCCCTGAGCCCCGAGGGGATAAATGGGGCAGGTAACATATTTCAGCCATAGGTGCTGAACTGAAGGGCCAGGCCTTGTCTGTGCACAGTAATGAGACTCATCTTCCCCCAGGGATGAGATTGCTGGTTGTATCGAGAAGGCCTATGAGAAAATCCTCTTCACTGAGGCCACCCGGATCCTCTTCTTCAACACACCCAAAAAGATGACAGACTACGCCAAGAAGGTGGCTGGAGGTCAAGGGACCATGGGGTGCACTCACTGACAGCAGGGTGGGATGGCCCGGAGGGACACTGGAGCCAGACTCCAGTTGTGTGACCTCAGGCAGGTGGCCAGACTTCTCTAAACTTCCGTTTCCCTGTCTGTAGAAAGGGCTAGGGTTTCTTATGTGGGATGAGCTGAGCCCAGCACCTGGCACCAGCCGGAGGTGGAGGCTTAGTACTTGGTGGTGGTTGTCCTTATGAGAATTCCTTGGAGAGTGCAGCTTTTCCCCACAAGACTCTGGTTCATTGGCTCTGGGGTGTTTGTGTGGGAGCAGGGTCCCTGGAGGTGCTGATGCTTGTGATGGAGCAGCCCTGGTGACTGACAAGGGTCATGATCAGACTGGAATAGGTGAAACTGAACTTGGGTGTTGGGGACAGCTGATATCTAATGATCGTTTACTCTGGGCCAAACATTGTTCTCAGTATTTTTGATTCATTTGAATCCCCACAACAGACCCAGAGAGGTGTGTAATTAGGGTCCCATCTCAAACATGGAGAAATGGGGGCACAGAAAAGTGAAATTACTTGCCCAGGGTTGTGCACGTTAGAGCAGGGTTGGTGAGGAAAGTGAGCCAGAGCCTACATGGGTAAGTGCTGGCTGGGGGGGCTGGGGAGGGTATGTGTGATCACCCCACCCATCTCCCATCTCTTCTTTCTTGCAGCGAGGGTGGGTCCTGGGCCTCAACAACTACTACAGCTTTGCCAGCCAGCAGCAGAAACCAGAAGATACCACCATCCCTTCCACCGAGCTGGCCAAACAGGTCATCGAGTATGCCCGGCAACTGGAGATGATCGTCTGAGCCCACCAGGCACTGGGGTGGGGCAGGGCTTGCATTATTTAAGGCAGTTGCAGTGCAGAGTTCCCCCTAATAAAGATGGATTGACATTTTCTTTCTTAGGCCCTTGTCGCCCCAGGGGGATTGGTAGGGACATAAGTTCTTATCTCTGAAGAACTTGGAAGTTTGGGGGCCTGAGGAAGTCTGAGATAGCCCTGGGCCAGCCTCTTTCCAGTGGCCATTGCTCAGAGTCTCCAACACAGATGCCCACTGCAGGGCCCAGTGGCACTGTGGCCTGGGGGAGGGACAGGCCCCAATAGAGGGACTGTTGCAGCTAGCTGTGGACACTCGGGAAGGCCAGGCCAAGGTACCAGTGTTTCAGAGAAGGGGGCGAAATGTCCTGATATTGACAAATACTTGCAATGAATTAAACCAGTTTTTAAAAATGACATGCTAAATTGACCTCTTTGGAACAAAAGGCACAAGGCCCTGGCCTGGGTGGTCCTTCATTCCCACTCTTCTGAGCCAGTGCTGTGACGTAGGACCTCTGTACCTCCCAGCCTATGTTTCCTGCCCTTGAAGTTCTCAAGGTGTTGAAGGCAGAGTCCAAATTTGACTGGGCCATTTGTGGGATGTGGGATTTTCAAGATTTTCTTTGAGTCAGTTTCCCCAGCTGCATAATGGGAATGATCATTCCTGCTTTTCCGAGTGATTTGCGTTAAACCCTGAGCTTGGCACCAGATCGATTGGTTGGAAATGGGGTTGATTCTATTAAGGGGAATGAGAACGTCTCACCTGTGGGCTCATCAGTGCACATGCTGGATGAACAGAACCTCCCTTATTGATGGTCTAGGTCCAGCTTCCTGTTCCCAGGGTGTGATGTTTCCAGGGAGACCTCTGCCCAACCTCACCCCTCCAACCCTTAGCTGGTGACTGACAGGCATCTCGGCATCTGGATGGTTATTTTATTGTCAGGGAGGGGGAGGCAGAGGGCATTGAGCAGACTGCACTCAGTTGGAATGGGTAGCCTGCAAGTCATAGTGCTCCAGCCCGGCTACCAGGGAGCCGGCCAACTTGATGGTGGCAACCCAGGGTGGCTCACTCAGGTGGTTGGTGGGCGTGCTCAGCCTACAGGGAGGGTAGAATCATCAGAACCTGTGTGGCCAGGCCTTTACCCATTCTAGGCTCCACTTTCTCCATCTGTATAAGAGACCGTGACTGAATATCCCAAAGGGAGTTTAGATCAAGGGCTGTATCTGTGTAATATACTTAGTAGGAAAGAGGGCTGAGAGCTGGTGATAATGGTTCCCCCAACTCCCCCTCCAGGCCCCAGCTGAGCCCCAGAGGTTCCAGGGCAGAGGGTCTCACTGTGACTCAGGACCCGGGGTCCAACAGACCCGGATGATGACCACATTCTGAGATTAAGGGGTGAAGGAGAGGTAACCAGAGGATGCAGTGTCTCCCCTGAATCTGCAGAATCAAGGGTAATCTCTGCAGGGCAAGGACTGGGACATCAGCGCCCTCTGGTGGTCAAAGACTGGAGCGGTCAGGAGTCGAGGGGACTAGGTTTGGGGCTTCCTTTGGAAGCCTGCATTTATAACCATTTGGTTCCAGAAGACCATCATGTCTTCTGTCTCTGAAGAGCTTGGGACATGGTCCTTCTTAATGTCATCGGGGACAGGGTCAAGGCAGTGAATAGGATCCGGCCAGCTGGGACCAGTATCCCTGGTGGCTCCAGAGAGTAACAAGGGAGGTTATCCATCAGAGGTCTGGATACTGAGGGGCTGGGCCAAGGTGTTCTCTGTCTGGGAGCAGCGTGCTATCAAGGCTCCTATTGGTTCTGAAAGATTGGGGTTCAGTTGGGTTTGAGATGCAGCCAAGGGGAGGGTCTAGGGGCAGCTGGGGTCAGGAGGCCAAAAGGTTGAATGGGGCCCTCCGGGAAAGTGAAGTTCTGGACTTGGAGGGGTATCCCCTCCCCTCCCTCCCTGACCTCCCCTCACCAGGCAGACACGTTTCTTGGCAGGCGGCGGTGGCGTGGCTGGTGGCGGCAGTAACACTTGCAGGGACAGGAGTTAAGCACCTGGAAGGGTGGCCAGTGGCGCGCGGCGCCCGAATTAGCTGTCCCCGCCGGAAGAGACCCGCTGCCGCCACTCCCTGCACCACGGCTGTCAGTCACAGTAGTGGCTGTACGTTCGCGGGGACCATCTCCGGGCGCGCCATCCTCACGCGGAACCGCGCGGGCTGCACGGGGACCCTTGTTCCTGCGCGTGCGGGTCTTAACGGGCACGGGCGCGGGCGCGGGTGGTAATGGCTCGTCCACAGTGGGAGCTTGAGCCGGGGATGGGGCCGGGGCCGGGGCCGGGACCGGGGCTGGGGCCTGGTCGGCAGCCAAGGCGGAGGTCAGAGCGGGAGCCGGGACGGGAGCCGGGGCGGGAGTCACGGCCGACTCCGAGTGGCCCGGGCCCGGGCCCGGGGCGGGCGGGAGCGTCACGGGCAGCGGCGTTGGCTGGAGCACGGGCGGCTGCGGTGTGGGAGGCGGCGCTGGAGGCAGCGTGGGTGGTGGTGTGGGCGGCGGCGGCGGCGGCGGCAGCTCGGGGGGGCCGGGAGGCCCGGGGCGCACAGGCTCGCCATTGGTGGGCGCCGGGAAGATGAACATAGGCGGCGCCAGCAAGGCGGGTGCGGGCCTCCGGGGCCCGGGAGCAGGATGCATCTGCCCTGGAGCAGGCGGTGTGAAGCTCCAGGGCCCTGAGAAAGCGGCTGAGCGCCGTTTGGGTGCCCAGACGCCTCCGCCAGCCCCATTGAAGCGAAAGTGGCGTTCAGGGCCATCAGGAGGGCTCACCCAGTCAAATCTGGGCTTCGAGCCAGGGAAGGTGGTGTAAGGTGGTGGCGGAAAGGTCCGGGCGAGGGACGCAGGCGCCGAGGGGGGTCCAGAACACCCCTCGCCGTCTCCATCTCCGCCCTCTGCTTTCTGAGTTCCCCGAGGGACCTCTCCCGAGGGGCGAGAGGCCCCAGGAGCCAGGGGTCCCTGCTTCAGGACCTCAGCGTAGGAGATGGCGCCCGAGGCGGCGAAGAGTCCGCCGCCGCCGCCGCCGCCGCCCGCGAAAGAGGCTTTAGCGGCTAAAGAACTCGACGCTGCCGCAGGGGGCAGAGGGGGCCCCGACTTGAAGGTGACTTTACACAACAGACTCAGGCCGGGCTCGGAGGCCGCAGGCCTGGCCATTTCGCCCTCGCCTGCTTGGGGAGGTGCCCCGCTGCGGGCCCCGCTGGCCGTCTGGCCCTCGCTGCCGAGTCTTGCCTGGCTTTCTGTAGGGGTTGCGGCGGGTGTGGCCAGAGTAGGAGTGATTCTGCGGTCCGGGGGCTGCCGGTCGGAAGGTGGCGGTAGTGGCGGCTTCCGCGGCTCCAAGGGCGGCGGAGTCGGAGATGGGGCCCTCGGGACAGGGTCGGGGTCCTCTTCGGTTAGTTGCCGGGACGGCGGCGGCAGCGGGCGGAGGCTCGGAGGGTCGCCCTGGCCGCGATGACTCGCCTCCAGCAGACCGCGGATCCGGGGCACCGGAGTGCCCGTGGGTTTTCGCCACTTAGACGGCGCGGGCAGCAGGGTCCCCACGGGGGGAGGGGGTGGTGTGGAGACCGCGGCCGCAGCCGCCTCCTCTGAAGGGGGCGTCACTGGCGAGGGCAGTTCTAAGGTCAGGGGCAGGGGTGAGGGTGAGGCCTGGGGCTCCGGGGGTACCAGGAGTCCCGGGGGCGCGGAGCTGCCAGGGAACAAAACGCCCAGCCCGCGAGCCAGGCGCATGGCCGGGGAGGAGGGGGTCACCTCGGGCTCCACCAGGGATGTCCGGCGGGAGTCAGAGGACCGGTCCGAGGCCTGCTCTTTTCGGGAGCCCCCGCCCGCGGACGGCTCCGACTGCACGTTCCCCATTTCTGACGGAGATCGGGGACTGTGGTCAGAAAAACTTCCGCCAGTCAATCTGCCAGGGCTGTGGGGACCCCCCCGAAGCTGGCTGAACTTGGTCCTGTCCGCCAGCACCGACTCCACCCTTGTTCCTCAAGCCCTACTCAGGCACTGGTTTCTCCCCGCATTCCTGTTCCCTGACTCTTGACGTTCACGCCTTCTTCCTCGTGGCCCCATACAACTAGCTGCTGCTCAGATACTTGGTCCCTCATCCTCTTAGTGTATTAAGGTCCGGTTCCTGTCTCTCTGGCTGGTCCCTCATATCACATCCCTACACTGTGGCCACGTTTCAGGTCTCTAAGCTCCAAGACATAGGTCTTGCCCGCTTCCCTGGTAAACACGCCGGCCGCGACACTCATGATGTCGGCCCCTGTAGCCTATAAGGCCTACAAAGAGTTCAAGCTTCTTTCCCAGGACTTTAACTGGGCTCCTGAGGCCCAAGCCCCGCCCCCGCCCTCTTGTCCCGCCTCCGATTGTCAAAGAACCTGGCCTTCTCAAGTCCCCTCCCACTCCTGCCAGGTCTGGCCCCGCCTCCGCTTAACAATTCCTGGTATTATTGTCAGTCTAACCCCTCAGTCATCACCTCTAACCCTCAGATCCCTCTCTGTGTGTTGATCATTTGGTCCTGTCCTCTTCCCGGCTTTAATCCTAATTTTTTTTTCCCGCTCCCGGTCTAGAGGCAGGCCTCACACTGAGGCCCCACCCCTTTCCCCAAGCTCCTCCTTGGCTCCTCCTTCGCTCGGAGGATGCCACTCACCAACTCCTCCAGCTGACCAAAGTTCAGACCGCGGCCCCCTGGGCCCAGGGCAGGGCGGGGAACGGCCGTAGCAGAAAATAACCGAAAAGAACGTGGGTGCGGGTGAAGGCAAGCGGGCGAGACAGCGAGGGAGGACCCCGAGATCTAGGCCCCGCCCCCGAGCTCGAGGCTCCGCCCTCCTGTGAGCCAGCCTAAGCACAGCCCCTTACGAACCTGGATCTCCCTTTGAAATACTCCGGTGTCTTCTTCCCCGCCCCCCAGACCTCGTAGTCCTAGGCCTCATCTCTTTAGAACGTTCTTTCAGCCCCGCCCCTTTACAATGCCCCGCCCCCTCCGTTATTACTTCTCCCGAAGCCCCGCCCATTACGAACTCTGCTACGTAGCTCCTCCCTTTTGGAACTCTCCGTCGTCCGGCCCCTAAAGACAATTTACTTATAAGCTCCGTCCTTCTAAGACCTGGCAACCTCTCTTCCCAAGACCCTCTCCTTCCTCGGGCCGGCCTAAAAGGCCCTTCCTCCGTGGGCCCTCCCCTTCCCTGACGCACGCGCTCGTCCGCGCCTTCGGCGTCCGCACCCTCTCCTCCTCTGAGCCCTCCGACCCCGCCCCCTTGCGAAGGCTCCCTTCTCGCCCCACCCCTTTTCGAACCCAGTCAGGCACCCAGCCCCTCCCATTTAGAACCGCAAACGTAGACCCTCGCCTCTTTAGAATCTTGAGACCAGGCTCCGTCCTGGACCCCTTCTCCATATCCTCAGGGGCCAGTGGCGCGGATGGGTGGGAAAGTAGGGGATCCTCTCTGGATCCTGAGAAAATGCGGGCTGGGGGGCTGTTCGCTACAGTCAGGGCCGGGCTCTAGGACCCAGCGGGCAAGTGCGCCTGCCTCGCGCTTACCCCTCCCCCAAGCCGCCCCCTCCCCCCCCACCCATCTTCCAGGTTCCCCCTCCCTCCCCCTGCGCCCCGGCTCCCGGTGCCCGTCTCTAGCGCCGCCGGAGCCTGCGAGGGAGCCGGAGCGAACAGGAGGAAGAGGAGGAGGAGGAGGCCACGTCGCCACCGCTCGGAGCCCGGCCGGAGCCTCCCAGGCAGGTGCCGAGTGGGGCGAGGGGGCGGGGGCTGACAGACCGCCTGTCACGATGAGGGGGCGGCCAGGACCGCGCTGCGCCTCCTGCCCACCGGGGCGCCCCCCAGACCCTGGCTGGAAGGAAAAGGAGGTGGGGGCCCTGAACTGCGCGGCAGCCATTTGGGGTATCGGTCACCATTTAGGGGGCCTGGACTTCCTCCGAGGACACCCATTCATAAAATTCCGTACTGGACCCTCACCATTGAGGAACTCAGGGGACCACTCCCCCCCCGGGGAACAGCTGTGTGAGGAGCGTAGGGCATCCAGAAATCCCGGCGTCCCATCCCAGTAGGCCCTGGGGAGGACCCCTGCCCTCTTTCTCTGCTTCACCTGTTGTCGGGGGAGGCGGGCGGACAAAGGAAGCAGCGTCACGTGACTGCTCATTCACAAAATCCCATCCCATTGAGAAAAGGGGGCTGGGGGCGCTGCAGCCTCCCCCTCCCCTCCCGAAGGACTGGGGAAACCCGGCAGCCTGCTGGTGGGGGAAGGGGCTAGAGCTCGTTGCTGGGGTCCCTAAGGCCGGTGCTCTAAGGTCCCTGCGCTAGGTGGTAGTGAGGGGTTGGACGCTGATCCCGATTATGGGCGGAGGGCTACGTCCCCAGAGCTGGGGGGCGGGGTAAGATGGTTCTGAAGGATGTTAGGGCGGGGAGGGAAAGGAGGAGGGATCAGTTCCTCCCCCAATCCCTCACCCGGCAATCTCTCCCCCTTGCCTTTCCTCGGCAGGGGCCTGAGGGAGCAGGCTTGATTTTTGTGAATGAAATGTTCTCTGGATGTCTCTCGATCGCCCGTTTCTGGCTTCCTCTGCCTCCATCTCCCTTTCGGCCTGTCTCTGGCCATTTCTGGTTCTCTCCCTGCTCCCTGCCCATCTCCCGTTGCTGGGTGACTCAGTGAGCTTTGCATCCGGTCTCATTCATAAATCCGGGAAGGGGTGGGGGGGGGGGGAGGAAGACAGCCTGGGTTTCTCACCCAGTCTGTGGTCTGGGTGGCAGGGTGCGGAGGCAGTGTAGGGGGGACTGGAGCTGAGTTGATGGGCTCTAAGAAAATACATATGCGCAGGCACCCAGCTGTGAGGGGGACGTTGGGTGGGGCTGTGGGTACGTGCTGAGGGAGGAGAAGGAGACAGGGTTGATAGGGGATGAGCAGGAGGAGGAAGGGAAGTGGAAGAGCGAAGCTTTGGGGGTGAGGATGGGGAAGATGGGGAAAGGGAGGCAAGGTGAGTATGGAGAAAAAAGGTAGATATGGAGAAGGAGGTAGGCATGGGAGAAAAGAGATGGCAAGAGGAAGAAAGAAGCCATGCTGGAAGAAGGTGGGCATAAGAGAGGTGACGGGTATGGGCAGAAGGTGGGCATGGGGAAGGAGGTGGGTGTAGAAGGTAAGGGGAGTATGGGTGACTAAGGAGACAGTAGATCGGGCTGTGAGGGATGAAGAGGGGAGGTGAGGGATGGGGAAAAGCTGACTAGGAGAGCAGGAATGACGCTCACTGACCATGTTGTCCCTGTCCCCCTACCTCCTCCAGGTACATGGTTCGGGTCCGAGCCGTGGTGATGGCCCGAGATGACTCCAGTGGGGGCTGGCTGCCTGTGGGGGGCGGGGGCCTGAGCCAGGTGAGCGTATGTCGGGTCCGAGGGGCCAGGCCCGAGGGGGGGGCCCGCCAGGGGCACTACGTCATCCACGGGGAGCGCCTCCGGGACCAGAAAGTGAGCCACCCTGGGGCGTGGGGGTGGGGTGGGGGTGTGGGGAAGTAGGGGGATGGGGCTGGGAATGCAGAGGTGAGGTCAGGTCATCTCCCAGCCAAAATCAAGTCCGGGTGTGGGATGGAGCTGGAAGTGACCCTGTCCTCTGGATGAGAGTGGGGAGTTTGGGGACTATTGGGGGTGTCAAACAGGTCCCGTCCCCTGCCACTGGCCACTGGATGGCCACAGCAGCCTGCTCACAGGTCTTCTTGTCCTGCTCCTGCTCCCTCCCCCAACCTCAGCCTGTTCCACTGGGGCTGGGCTAACACCTGACTCAGATCACATCCCTCCTCGGCTCAGAACCCTCCCCGTGGCTCCATCTTGCTCAGAGATCCTCACCGCGGGAATTTTACACCACCTGCCCCTCTGCCCTAAGTATTTGGAGGCCTTTGCTGGGGGGACCATCTGGAAGTGTCACATAGGGTTTACCATCCTGTTGTGGGTTCAGCAGGAATATTCTGGGCTGTCTGGCATGAAATGGAAAGAGACTGTTGACATTTCAGCTGGGGATGTAGTAGAAAGGTTTGGATTGCTTGAAAAGGCTTGGGGTAAGGGTTGCATTTCAGAGCAGGGGTTGGAAGGAACAGTGTAGGGGGATTTGAAATAGTGTGGAAAAAATACAGTGATGTTGGGCAAGAAGATGGGAGAACATCTAGGGTGTTGACCAGCATTTGAGGGGAAATCTGTGGGATTTTGATTAAAAAAAATTTGGGGGGTAGTATTTGGGGAGATTACTGGGGCATCAGAAGGGGATTAACAATAGCATTTTGAGATGTTCAGTAAAGCTTGGGGAGTACAATTGAGTCAAATGGACAACATTGACTATCAGAAGGAGGTTAATGTTTTTTGAGGCACCCAATAAAATTTGGGATGCCTACTGAGATATCAGAAGGAAGGAGGTGTTAGGAAAATGTAGAGATCAAGGGTTTGGGGGGAAATATTGGAGTATCAGAGGTGTGCTCAATATTGGGGTGTGATCAGGGTTCAAGGGTGCACCAAGATGGGGAAATGAGATTTGTGAGGTGCTCTGGCGGGAAGGGAATGTCTGACCTGGACCTTTCCTGCCTGCCCCCACTTCAGATCACCTTGGAGTGCACCCTGAGGCCAGGCTTGGTTTACAACAAGGTGAATCCCATCTTCCATCACTGGAGCCTGGGTGACTGCAAGTTTGGGCTGACGTTTCAGAGCCCGGCCGAGGCAGATGAGTTTCAGAAGAGCCTGCTGGCAGCGCTGGCTGCTCTGGGTCGAGGTGAGTGGTGCAGGGGGTAGGGGCTGGAGCCTGGGCTGGGGTGAGTGGGGGGTGGGAGAAGCTTGGCCCTGAGAACTCACTGCTCTGCCTCTCTCCCTACCCCAGGCTCACTCACCCCCTCCTCCTCCTCCTCTTCCTCCTCCCCTTCCCAGGACACTGCAGAGACCCCCTGCCCTCTGACGGTGAGTCTCCTGGGTGCAATGCTGCCGGGAGGGCAGGGGGCTATTTCTATTCTGCAAACATTCTTGAGCACCTACTGTGTATCTGGAACCAAGCCACGTGCTGGGGACACAAATTTGGGCCGAAAATTAGTGTCAATTTCAATCCCAATGATTTTAGTTTTTCTATTCTATCATGATTTACCCATTCATCCAAAGGTATTTATTGAACACCTTCCATAAGAAGTGTTTTAAGCACTGGGGATACATCAGTGAACAGAATAAAGTCCCTTTCCTCGTGGAGCTTCTATTCTAGTGTGGAAAGGCAGAAAATTTTTTTAAGGTACACTATAAAAATGAATAAATATTAAAAGTAAATAGATGAATAAATCAATGGGAAATCCAACCTTCTAGTTACTCAAGATACAAACCTTGGAGTCATCCTTGACTCCTTTCCTTTTTAAATGCCCCCTCATCTAGTCTGTCAGCACATATTGGCTCCACTTTCTTTTTTTAAAAAATTTGGCTTCACCTCACAGCACACAAGATCTTAGTTCCCCAACCAGGGATGGAACTTGGGCCCGTCAGTGAAAGCGCCAAGTCCTAACCACTGGGACCTCCAGGGAATTCCCTGGCTCTACTTTCAAAATGATCAGACTGTGCCTCCAACCTGGTGACTATTCAACCTCATCTCCCAACTGGACCATTTCATCAGCTGCTCATCATCAACTGTCCCCCTCCTCCATCTCCTTCCCCCCCGACACAGCCAGAGGGACCCTATTGACATCTAAGTCTGATCACAAATATCCTCCACTTAGAGCCCTACCAGGGCTCCATCTCACTCCTGGTAAAGGACAAAGTCCTCACAGAGGCACAAAAGACCCCACACCAGCTGGCCCCCTATTACTCTCCCTCATGGTCACTAGGCTCCAGCCACATTGGCCTCCTCACTGTTATGCCGAAAGGGAAGACAGATTCCTGTCTCAGGGCTTTTGCACTGGCTGGTCCTCTTGTCTCGGAACATTCCCAAATTTCCACATGGCTTATTCTCTTATTTCCTTCAGGGCTTTACACACATAGTCTCCTCAATGAGGCCCTTCCTGTTGTTATTCAGTTGCTAAGTTGCATCTGACTCTTTGCAAACCCATAGACTGTATCCCCGCCAGGTTCTTCTGTCCATGGGATTTCCAGGCAAGAATACTGGAGTGGGTTGCCATTTCCTCCTCCAGGGGATCTTCCCAACCCAGGGATCAAACCCAGTCTCCTGCGTTGGCAGGTGCATTCTTTACCATTGAGCTATCAGGGAAGCCCTGAGGCCCTCCCTAAGTAACCTGTTTAAAACTGCAGTCTCCTAATGCTCCTTATCTTGTTCTTTCCCCCATCTTCTAAGATAGTTTTATTTCCTCTTCCAATAGACAATTTTCTTATTTATGACTTTACTATCCATCTCCCATGCTAGAATGTCTGCTCCAGGAGGGCAAGGATCTTTTGTTGCTTTCTTGCTGAATCTTCAATGCTTAAAACAGTGCCTGGTAGACAGTTAAGTGTTCAGTAAATATGTGTTGAATAAATTGATTGAATGAATAAATGCACATAATGTCGGATTCGATTTGGCCCTTGCTGGGAACAGTGGGAATGTCTCAAGAACACGTTG